ATATACACATTCGGTTCGCCGTGTTTGGAGGTCGTCCACATAGTCGTGCACAGTGTGTGACGTGTTAAAACGAAAATCGTGTACACCACTGTCGGGAAAAAATATCCGACGACGACTGTAAACCACCTCCGCAGTATAGATTGTAGTTTTTCTCGAACTGTTGTACACACGGGGCCGGGGGTGACGTACGGCCGCAGCTATCCAGACCGGAGTGGTTAAATCGAATGAGGTCTATTTAGGGGCGGGGGTGAGTGGTTGTTCATTTTTTTATCGGCATTTTTACACCGAATATTGAAGCTCGATCAGATGAAATATTTATGTAACATCAGAACGATAACATGTTATCTCACTTGGTACTTAACTCCGGTTGGTTTGATAATTTCGATTATTGTAAATTAATCATGTAACAATAATTGTATTCAATGTTGGGTGTTAACTTTAATGTACGTTTTTGAGAATAAATAACTGCTAAAAAGCGTTTATCTAGAGTCTTGTCTATTGGGTATATTTAAACATACGTTTCTATAAGTGTGTATACTATATACTGTGTAGTATATTATAGAACAAAAACTATAAAATGCATATCTCAAAAAAATATATATTAGCGGTAGGTGATGGTGGTGGGAGACGAGGCATCAATAAAACCTGTAACGTCTATACTTTGTGCGCAGAGCGACATAATTTTATTTTAATCGATAAATATACCAATTTGTAGGCTGGTTAGGTATAACTATTTATTTGAATAATAATATGCTCGTAGAATGCTGAACACGTGTATGCGAAGTCGTGTCCTAAAATTAAACTGTACTATCAATCGATGTTGTAACATAATTGATTATTAAAAGTATAATTTCCTGTTATCAGATCTTAAATATTAGAAACATATAATGCGGGGATCTATCCCTCTCACACCCCTACCTCCTAGTTTGACCACCACTGGTCCGATTGGTTTTATTATTCTAAGGGATTGCGTTGAACTGGTTGATACTTACCAGTAATTTCGTTTCTATAAGCCACCCAAGTCCCAACCGAACAACGGCCTCTTTGGAAATTCACATTTCCGATTTAATTACGATGATGGGTTACTCATATTTGATACGATTGCACGATACTGTTCACAATATTTTATAATGAAAATTTATCATCCGACAATACGTTTGTGTATTATAGTAATAATATAATATTTGGTTGGACCATAATATAATGTTAGCCGGCGTCGTGGGTAGGCAATTTAGGGACATCACTGTCGCGGGTAACCACTGACAATGGCATTTTGAAATAGGTACTAAATAATATTATTTTAAAATTTAATGTAATTTTTCAATTAATATAATCTTCGTATCTTGGTCAGACGTTGATTGATATATTAAACCGTTTCTTGTTTATGTTATGTACTATATTATGGTCTGTACTTACATTTCGTTTCACATATTTTATTTCTATTCAAAACCGTCAATAATATTATACGACCATTGTACTATTGCAGTAAATTATCCGTCGCTCAACAGTCGTCCCTAAAGATTTCTCGATGAAAAACGACGATGGCGATGATGATGATGATGTGAAACACGTGTACGAAACGAATACGGTTTTGAACATCTACAAATAACGTTACGTTTAGACTTTTCAGCGGCCCCGTCGTCGTGTGTCGAAACGCGGCTTTCGCTTGTGACAAACGAGTCGGCTGCAGTAGTGGCATTTTAATTTCGACGCAGAAAACGTACCCACACACACCATCTGTGCGAATGTGATGTTCTTCGCCGTTTAACCTCTCAACGATATTTTAAAGTTTCGCATTTGTCTCGGGTGTTGGCTCGACGAAATTGGTTTTCCCCCGAAAAACACCCGATCGTTCGGCTTTTAGGTTTGCGTGTGTGTGTGTGTGTGTGTGTGTGTGTGTGTGTGTGTGTAATGGTTAGAAGGGTTTTTCTCTTCGTCTGGCACGAGACACCACGCTTGTGGAAATATAAGAAGGAATTGCACCCTTGGAAATCTCGTTAGAAACGTAGCGCAATTCTATGTCTCAAAGCTTCGGATATTAAATCGTTGTACGTGAAGACAACAGGTGGACACCACTACCACTAATGATTTCGGTGATGGTTACGATAGTAATATATCGTTATAACACTCATCCCTGTAGACTCCGTTGCTACGGCGCGTTTCGTGTCGACGACCCAACTGATATACGATGCTTGTATATATAATTATCGTTATTATTATTATAACAACGCGTTTGACTCTGTGTATACGGTTGGATAGGGTGAGGTTAGGTTAGGTGTCGTAGTTCACGAGTTTTCCTATAATGACTTATGTGGCTGTAATGCGCATTATGATTTCGAGCTGATGTTTAATACCTAGTAGTAATTATTTATTTACCTTGTAGATTTACAATTGTAATTATAGACTTAAAATCATAATGGCGCCGCGCGCCGTTGTTGTTATACTGATGACATTGCAGTTTTAACACGTTATTAATATTTTAATATCAAACCGTACACCACCTGACCTCACCGCCTCCGACGAAAACAACCTGCAAGCGGAGCCGCCGCCTGCGCCGCTACAGGTTGTCACTGAATCAACACGCGAATTCGTCACGTCCGTAAGTCCGTTTGGCTGCGTTGGCGGCAACAGTGGTGGTGGTGCTGGTAGAGGAAGCTAAAGGTGGATTCTGTGTCATTCCCTCGTTTGGCGGCATAATACAAAGTACGCGCTCACTCACACATATTGTGTATACAGCGTGTCAAAATAACCGGTCAGAGGTAGTAAGAGTAAATATTTTCACCGAAGCAAAAGGCCTGTTAACGTTTAACTTTTTTTATTATTTTAGTGACAAAATAGTTTTTATACTAAAAAATTTAGCTATGGATTTGCTGAACGTTAGAAAATTTGTTAAAATTTGTTTTGTATTACAAATAAAAAAAAAAAAAACTAAAGAACGAAAACTTACATCATTCTTGGTTTTCGTCTTATAAACTCTTATTCACAAAGTTAAGGATATCGGGTTCGAACTAAGATCAAACATTACACTTGGACTTCCTTGTCTGACACACTTAACCGGAATCCTTCAGACATTTCGGTTCTTATTATTTGGAACACAAACAAGTTCAGTGATGAACGTTATCTCTTAACATAAAATGTCTCTCTCATTGCCTGACAAAAACTTGAGTGTTGCTAAATTCTATTGGACCCTTCACAAAAAAGTATCAAGCGTGTTCCGAGAAGATTTTTACGGAATATTGGCTATAATAAAAGACAATGGAACACCGTTGACCTTACCACCTCCTCGATTACACCGCTAAAAAATATTCTACACAGTGCAAGTCCAGAATATGTTCCTTGCTGACGTAGATCTATGGCCCATAGACTATGGGCATTTTTTTCATGTCCAAACTCTTAGTCTCCGTCTTACCAACTTACGAAATAGCAAATTTTAGTTCACTAGTTTGAATACTATGCCGTTAGTTTTGATATGAGAGTGAATTTAAATATTATCAAACTTTTAGGTATGACATTTTTCTATGCTTAAGGTCGACGGATTTTTGATATTTTCATTTTCAAGCTAGATACGAGTATGTGAAATAACACAAATCAAATATGTTCATATCTTGCTTGATAATTAAAATATTCAAAAATCTATCGAAGCTTAAGCATAGATTATGTTCTTACCTAAGACTTTGATCATAGGCCAATTCACTCTAATATCAAAACTAATAGCACACTATTGAAACTAGTGAATGAAAATGTTCTATGTCGTACGTGTGTAAGACGGAAATGCATGTGTAGCGTCCTCTTAAGTGATTAAATATAATTTTAGAATGTGCTGCCTCAGCTCATTTGCTTCATTGGCGTATAATCATTATGAATACAATACTGTTTTTATTTAAATGATTTAATTTATTTAACTTTTGTGAGCACCAAACTGTTGGCACGTACAACAAGATACAACACTATACTTTCCAAACATAAATCCACCGCACTTCATACGGTTAAAATAATAAAACACATCGTAAAGGTACTCCCGATAATGTAAACAATTAAACAACATTGATCTATTCGATGCAAAATGTCTAATAATGTGTCAAAAATGATTATTTTCTCATTATTCCGCGTGCAATATCTAAATGAGTATACTTTGAAATTTTCTTTTTGTTCTTAGTTGTAATAATAATTACAATTTTTTTTTAAAACATATTTATTACGCGTCATGCATAACCACGTGTATTAATATAGGTATTAGGTACCTATGAACATATTCCATCATGTACTCATTAGTCATTCAGATATTATCTCAAATAGCGTATACTGGTTTTTTATATAAATAAATGAGTTGTTTGAATATTACGTCTAGCATCTCATTAATATTTGCAGAGTAATATTATTTTATAAAAAGTAGAAAAACATGTGCCTTGGAGGGTTTTCATTTAAGACAACACAGTAATAATTACCATATAATAATATGCCATAACAATCGTCTTGGAGTGCATGTTCGTTATGAGCTGCTTTTTCATTTCCAAAGTAAAATATTATGCAAAACACTGAGAAATAATTGGTAAAAATATATGTAACATACGATTAATACGTCATCTGAGGTAAAATCAGAAAGTCTTCTCCACAGCGTTTGACACAACAACTTTGGCCTATGGACGATGTACTTCGATGCATTATAAAATTATATTAAATTATCTAGGTAATAATATCATACAATGTATTATACTCGCGATTGCGAATGTCTATTTGTGTGTTCATTAGATGCTATAAGTATTACAACGAGATATCATCCCTTCAAACACGCAAGTAATGATGCAAACGAAAAATCTCCCAAAGATGAACTTGTGGTTAAGGGATGGGGGTGGACCAGGTCGTGACCATAATACCAAAAACGAGCTCTTCTCAGTTCCAATTAACGCGCGCGCATGCCGAGTACACATTTTAATTTACATATTTGTGTCAAACCAGCGAAAGGGTATGTGTAATAGTAATTTTCATGTTTTCGTTCGCAGATTACTTGAAGTATTGTTACGAGCTGGAACAAAAACAAAACTTGTTCAAGGAGCGAAGCAAAGAAGAAACGGAAGCCGCTCACGACCTGCTCGAACTCTCCAGGTAAAAACCTATTTCTAATAATATCATATTGATAAATGTATTGTTTTTATATCGAAAAACTAAAAAAAAATTCAGATAAATAGCCTAGAGTATAAAATATAATAATAACAATGATAACTACTATGGTGTCTGCGTTGGACGTTGTCAATCAGGTTAATTCTAAAATCAATAACTCAGCATAAAATAAAACGTACAAATCATGTCAGCGAGACAAAGGATTAATGTAAATAATTGATAATCAATAAAATATAACAGTCGAGACATACAAACAATCTAAATTATTAACATTTGATTATTAAGTACAAATATAAATGTTATATTGAATATTGATTAATGACAACACAATATTGAATTACATATTTGGATAAAATAGCATTTATTTTTTATTTTTATGAACAAAGTCCTAACAGTGTTAAACTTAATACTATATGCATAAGTAAATATATTAGAATCACACATTGTAAATACAATATTATAAAATTGATTTCGTAGGACTAGTAAGTCAACGATATTACGTTATCAAACCGAAATGCACTTATAAAATAATACATTTCAATGCTGCATAAAAAAACTCAATTTTTAATTTACGATTCATCTGCATAGTTATTATAATATAGTAACGGGGTAGAATTTTTTAGGACTTTGGTCAGTCAAAGCTGATTGCTGGTTATAGTCGTACGGGTTTTTGCCAACGCAGTAAATCGTAATAATACGTGGAAGTTCAATAATATTATTATAATACTATAATATTATCCCCCGCACAAAACACGCTATCTATGCGCGTGCATTAAAACGAAAGGGTCGATTATTCCGCCAACATTCAACTGTATTTTTTTTTTTTTTTGTCCACCGACCTTATCCTATACTGAGAATAGCTTCGGGGAGTGAACGTATATAATGTATAATAATATGGACGTGCCTATAAAATAGGCGTATAATGAAATTATATGATCGACAACCGTTGGACCGCAATCGTAAGGCGAACCCTGAACTGCGCGGCGTTTAATAACAATGTATTATTATCATAGATATCGGGTCGCAATATATTCGTTAAAAAAGTTTTCCGGGCAAAAAAATCCACAGAAATACCCACACGCTGACCAAACGATATCGACACTTTTTTCAGTCAATACGCAGTTTTTTAATACCGTAAAGCGTTCGGGTGTTCGGCGTTGTAATGACGTGGTACTATTATTTGTGTGTCTGTAATAACTTTCTCGAAGGAATAAAAATAATATATAATATCGAGTTATAAATAAATTTACAAAAAAAAAAAAAAAACCCATTGAATTTACTCTGCACAGAGACTATGGTAACTTTGGAAATTAAAACAATCCTTTGAAATTATTATTGTTGTGCGAGCGAGAATATCGCCAGGCGCGACGAGTGGCTTGTTTGAAATCGAAATAACCTAGTTAAAAAGTTTCGTTTCGGCACGATTTTCGCCATGCCCACAAAAATTTGTGACAATAATACTCTCTCCACTCCAGTCGGTTTCATATTATTTCCCGTGCGAAACTTACTCTCCATTGTCGTAACTTCTAAACTTTCACAAAGACAGATGTGTTTTTTTTTTTTTTTTTGGTCTTTGTTTTTGTTTTAATCGTCCCGATGCGATAATGGAATAAAAATAGTGTCCGCTGTTGAACGAAAACAAACCGCAATAGTATTAAAATAAAGAGAGGATGCTAGAATTATTAGGTAAAACGCGTATACGACGGCGTGGGCTTTAGAACGTCTGCGTCTGCGCACGATATTTTCGTGGTTTGTTTTTTTCTCCTTTGGTCTTTATAAATTGGATTACTCACCAGGGAATAACTGGTGCGAAAACAGTGTACACTTCTATATTTTATTATACGTCCCGCGCATTAAAGTATATAATATTAAGTAAAAACGGAAAATGCTGATCATCTTAATTAAACATTTTTTATAACTTTTGAACTGCTTGATCTCATAATATGGGTATCTAATTTGATAATATTATTATAACTAACAATATTCATGATGATTAAATTCAAAACAAATGATTTCAACAGCACAATGAAAAGTTATAATATTTGTAGTAAATTAAACTACCGTCCATTATTTCTGTTACATCTTATAATATAATATGCATAATAATAACGATATTTTGTGCATTTATTATTATTATTAATTTTTTTTCTCCCTCAGTTCGTATTATGTTAACTCTATACAGACAACGTCTAAAAAATCATGTAATTGATGATTTATAATTCAATAATAAAACTTGATCCGTCTCAATTGTTGAGCTGTAATAGTTTTAAACTCGAAGTTATTTCACAATAATAATAGTAAAAAAAAAAAAAAAACGTTTTAACCGTTTATTGTTTGCAATATAAGGTAAGCGCACAAATTATCACAAATATAAAAACAGATGACTACTCGGCCGGTGAATAATAATATTCAAATAGAATATTATAAGATTATATAAGTATGCTCGTTAATTTTCTATATTAGTAGTATTATGAATAGTTGAACACTGGCGATGAAAAATATAAATAAAAGCAAATGGCAGGTATACGCACTGTCTGTGTACTCACTGGCTTGCTTTCATAGTTGTGTTATAATATTATATAATTCGTTTTATAAAATATTATAATAATAATAATATAAACGTCGTAGTGCTTCATGCAGAAAAGACGTCGGTGGAGCTACTTGGAAAATTGTCGGAGAAATGTGCCATTATGAAAAAGCTGGAATTGCGTTTTGAATAAACGAGGGGGATTAATTTCAGAAGATAATAATACAACGGTATCACGGAATACGGTGTTGCGAATTTCCGTGAACTCGAAAACGACTGAAAAAATACAAATAATATTAAAGCTTAATCTCGAGTATCGAACGCTAAACTACTAAATGGTACAGTAATAATAATATGATTCGCACGCGTAATTTGAATAATCTGGATTTTTCACGATAATCTTGTGTACAGACACAAGACCGAGGGGTGGATGTAATTTTTCGCTGAATCTGCAGCGGGAGGAGTTACGTTGGCCGTCTACCAAAAATAAAAATACAATATTGCAGCTATTTGTTGTTATTGTTGTTTTATTTCCCCTGTGATTGATAAGACTCACAAATCTGATGTGTTCGAAGAATTGTTCAGAATGCGTTTACCCTTATACGGCACTTTGGTCGTTTGTCCCAATTTTTAAAAATCGAAAACGCGGGGAATATTTCTTGGTTTTATTCGAATGTCTCTGAAAATGTTGAAACATGTTGATGTATGCTAGTGGCATTGGTAGGTTAAAAACGACTTTATCAGTTATCACTTTACTTTGACACCACCAAACCGTCCACTCTACAGCCCGCACCAGCTAATATCACACGACTTATGCACCTGAGCGAGTTTGGATGGAATTCCAATACCATTTCGTTAACTTTCTTGTGTAGGTGGAACTACATTGGTGGTGACCGAGGAGTGCTTGTGCTTATTTTGAGTACACATATTTAGACCTCAACACTCCCACCATTCACCCTTAAAATACAATCAAATACGATCCTGGGAGGGGGAGGGAGGTTTTATGTTACATGATGTGCTATATTCGTTTTTATAATAACTCTTACCAATTCGAATGTATAAATATTTAAAATCATTTCATTATTTGAGTGGAATCTGTTGAACCTGCTGGATTCGGGGGACTCATACGTATTAAGTAAAAAATGTATTCGACTCGCATGAGAGTAATATAATAAATCAGCAGTATAAAATACTTAGGTACGACCCTCCGACGCCTCTTGATTTGGAATTCTCGAAAATATCATTAATAATAGAAACAGATCATTCATAAAATGCGTATGCCAACCCTTTCTTTAACCAATCGCCTCCAATCATACGTTTGTCTATACCACCAAATACCGTTAACGTCATAATATACTGTCATAATATTAGTTTGGTTTTCGTACACAAGACGCGATCGAGTGATATTTTATGATTCGAATATACAGATACATAGATACGTCACATTGATACTGCTATTTCAATAACCAAAAAAAATCAATCCTAACCTAACGTTTTTGAGAAACATTTGCAGTACATACTTCATGTACCATGGTGAAATATCATAATATTTACATTACACGTCTTCAATCACTACTATACTGCCGTCATGTATATATCCACTACACTTGGTACATGTATACCACGTTAATGGTTGCGGTTGTTTGCCTTTTCGCTTAGATCGTTGCCGCCACTGCCGCCACCGAGTACGGTGACCATCGCCGCACCCACGCCCCCCGAGACACCCCTCGGCTCGGGGGTGGGTGACGGGTGCCCAGCGTCGCCACAGTTCGTCTACGTGTCCGCGGCGGTTTCGGCCGCACCGCTTACCCCGCCTGCTTCAGAGTACTCGTCGGACGCGGAGAATACGCCGGCGGAAGCCGTCGGCGGCACCGCTAGCGCACAGGCTGTCGTGGTGGCCACGGCCACAGCCACCACCACCGTCTACAGCCTGATCGATTACGTCATCGAGAGGGGCGACGGCGGAGCGTACGACCCGTTGCTGACCAGAGACTTGAACGTCAAGACCGGCAGGACGACGACGACGACCGCGGAACACCGCCGGTCGACCTCCACCACCACCACCACCACAACCACCCAGGTCGTGGTCGGATGCAGTTCCGGGAACAAAGGTCAGTGTATAATATTATTGTTGAAATTGAAAGTTCAGTGGACATAGGATTAGGTGTGACAATATAGATAAATTACACGACTTTGTGTGGGACTATTTACATAACCGAATTACCCCGAACCCTTAACAGCCCTAAGACACCGTAAAAAATCAAACACCCTAATTAACCGGAACCAGAATAATTTTTAATTTTACAAATTTGGATGTGAACCATTATTAAGAACAATCAATTTTATTAAATAGGTATCAACTAGATTAAATGTAATAACATAGACGAAAATATGCTCAAAGTTTTTGGAGAGGAGCCTAAGAAGTAAGTTTTGATGATATCCAAAAATATTTTTCTCGTGCTATATATTTAATAATTTGTTCTCCAGCTACTTGAATCGTATCCCCAAAATGCATGTTTCGGTTCGACTATATCGGTGGATCCTAACTTACAGCGAGCGGCCTTTAAAATCAAAAATCGTTTCAACCTTATCGCAATAGAGATTTTTTTCCGGTGCTTCTGAGTTCTGATAACAATAGATAAAAAATTATCGACGATTTTACTTTGTTTACATTAACACATCAAATTAGTTTTTTCCGTCAAGATAAACAAAAATATGATAAACGCTCGAAGTCGGACATACAATTGTATGCCTGCAGCATAAAGGCCCTGCAAATCCTATCAATTTTTACCCAAACGACCTTAGTGACTGACAAAAATTAAGCTATTTTTAGTGGTTTGACTCAACAATCGTTAAGATATTCGGTGTTTCAATATTCGACGAAGCTTACATTGCATCGATCGGAGCATAAATTCAATATTTTTAACAGTTTTTTATACAAAAAATTTGAAAATTGATACGATTTTAAAAGGTTTATTCCCATCGTGAATTCGCTAAGATTGAAAATGTGCTCTGGCCGACGCAAAGTAAACTTGTTTTTGCATTCAAACACCTTTACTTTTTTTAAATCAAACTGTCATCACTGTAAATAGATTAATATTTGTCAGTCGCTGAGGTCGTTTTGGTGAAAAATTGATTTTCAATATTTTGATCTGACGATTAAAATGTCAAGTGCATGCGGGTACGTAATATGTATGATGCGAGTGATTAGTGGGGAATACACACACACTAATTATGATTTACTACACGCACAAAGACGAGCAGTGAGCGCATGGAACGAAATAATTCCCCAAACAACACAACTCCTTGAAATCGACAAGTTCGAAGACAAAAATGCACCTGACAGTTTTGTTCGGAGGCAGTGTACCTAAATAACTAAAAAAAAGCGTATTTTTAATTCCATCCTCGTCGCAGTTTTAGTGACGATGATATAAATTTAACAATGTGCACACCACCGCGGTAAAACTATTAATTAATATCATATAACGACAGCGATATCCGCGCGAGCTGTGTTGTGACGTTACAATACATTTACATATTATTTCCGTACAATACTTGTTGAACTCGGGCCCACTCGTACGCGTCACATTCGTATTAGCTGGAATTATTGCCGTGCTCGCATTATGTATAATATAACAGCCGCGGTATAGGCTCGTGCTCGTGCGCTGTTGCAGTTATTTCATTATTAATCAAAGCATTCGAAATTCGTCGGCGCCGTGCATGAATAATTCGCGTTCTTCGCCGGCAGTACCCGAGTGCGTTATTATATTACACACACACACACACACACACACACATGTATATAATATATACACATCATAATATACGATAGCTGCTAGTGTTATGTGCTCGCGATATAATTAATTGAACCTCCCGTCGTCGCCACCGCCCGCGCTTTTCATGTATATTAAATTGACCTGTCTCTGCAAAATTTCAATAATTCAGCGCACCGGTGCGAGCTGGCGGCCCCCTCGCACAGCCGCCGCCGCTTATGGAGTTGTACTCATAACACTATAATACTGTAATATCATTATTATTATTATTATTATGTATTATATTATTACGTCGACAAATAATAATATTATGTAGGTATGAATTACGAGGGAAAAAATCGTCGTTCATCGGCCGAGCTTCGGTGTGGCTCATACGGCCATTATTATAATATAGCGTACCCTTAAAGATTGTATAAATAATTGCAGTATAATATCTGGAACGTTATTCGAATTCGATATTTTTTTACATCATAAAAAACGAACGAAGAGGCGGCGGGCGCCGTCAAACGGTCGGAATGCGCCACGATGAGTTTTTTGTTTTTCATTAATTCCGAGGTACGGACGAAGTCTCAAAAATGCCAGTTTGGTTTTCCAGAATATCGCATAAATTACAATCGAAGGGACGCGTGGCAATCGATTTTGAAAAAATAAAAACTCATAAGACCTTTCTATTCTATTATAATATAATCGGAGATCAGTTCAAAGTGTCGTCTACCTGCAGTTGAGAATGTTGAGATGAACCTCATATCATTTATATTTTTAAAAAAGTTTCGAAGACAATGATTATTACTTATATGAAATTTAGCTAGGAGCTGTAACTCTGTCACTATACTCGTAAACTCATATTATTATGTTCTCCGAAGGTGGGCACGTTAAACGTAAAATCTGACTTAAGTAAAGTGGAAGCCAAGATCGATAATTTGTGAGTTATAAAAGTTAAGAAATAATACATTTAACTTTAAAACATGGAGAAAAATATTAACTAAACTTAGTTTAAAATACATACATTTTTTTTGATAAATATCACTTCAGTGTCAGTGTCGTCACGTAACATTATAGTGATTATAGCATTATGTACATTCATCATTTTGCAAATTATAGTTTGAACAATTTGTTAAAAACGCACCTCAATATTTATTTATTTTCACACTATTGTTGGACTAGGATGTAGTATTGTGTGACTACATACGTAATTATAAACTTAATTATAATGGAGGAATGTATTTTTTTTTTTGTTTATTTGTATTCAAAAACAGCGCGTGCATTGTGATAAGATAAAACCGAAAAACCAATTCATTAATTTTTATTCCACTATTGTTATATTATGTCGTTATTACTATGTTAGTATGGTTTTAAGTTTTTAAATAAAATTAGCCGGAAAAACTTAAGGAAATACAACGGGAACTTTAATCTGTCAAGTTATTAAGTATGATATTGGGAAATTGACTTAACGGCCGAGGAAAAAATTCAACAAATCAAAAAAACCATTAACCCTCGACTGGGCCTCGCATTTTTAACTGAGCAGTCGATGTCGTCCGCTATGCCTCTGAGACTGTTATCAGAAGCTACGTCTGAATATACATAGGTAGAACGTTCCTGCCGCGTATAATATATCATTAGTTAGGTGCATATATTTTTTTCCGCGTCGAAAACAATAGCGATACGCTTGAAGGCAGTCGCAAACGGAGCATCAGCGGACGATTAAAAGTTTCTAGATGGAAAAAAAAAAATAAAAAAACGCCCGCCGATCGGCTTTCGTTTTCCACGAACGGACTTACCAGCGACCTTACCCGCTCATATTATATTGTTTTCCCGCGTGCAGCAAGCAGGGCGCGGCCCCGCCGAGACGTTTTTTTAGCGCTCAACACCGCTAAAACCGAAGTCGTCGCGATGTCCGCGTCCGCTGTGTGTTATACCGCAGCGGGCTATCGATTTTCTTCCCCGCATATCATTATGCGCATATGACATGTATATTATGTGTGTGTGTGTGTGTGTGTGTGTGTGTGTGTGTGTGTGTGTGTGTGTGTGTGTGTGTGTGTGTGTGTGTTGTGCGTTTGGAATACAATAATATTATAATATCATATATGTACTACACGTATAGGTACTACACTCTCGCTCCTCGCGTCCCGAACGGATTTCTCGGAAAGATATATGGGAGGGGGGGGGTGAGGTAGAGTAAAACCGTGGTTCTGAGTGACCTCTTTTCGTTTTCTTTTTCACATCACGATTATTATAACGGAACGCACTCAGCTGCAGCAACTAGAGGGCGAGGGCAAGGAATACCTGCAGCCACTGAGTTTTCGGTGGTTATTAAAACCGAATAAATGGTATGGTACCTATGGTATGGTAAACCGGTATGGTACTCCCGAATCGCGTCTAACTTACAATACAAAAATATCAACCGCCATACCGTCATTTCCGAATTATATTTCTTTTATTTGTCGAAGTATACAATATTTATACATTTTACTAATATTATTCGACCATAGGCTTATCCATTATCAATATAATATACAAATGTATATCATAACCTTTTGAAAACTATCTATCGATCGTCATTATTACACCAATAATTTTGGAGTTTAGAGTTGGCTGCTATACTTCTATAACTGTTACATGTTTTTATCATTTTTTTTATACTAATTAAAAATAATAGCTAGATGTTTCGTGAAATGATATGTAAAAAAAATTAAATAATCTTATACGTTTTTTTTAGTGAGCCAACACGAACACGCAATCAGGATACTTATCTTAGGGAATCGATGGGAGTATCTAAGTTTTTGTGGGACCGTGGCATAAAGTCTCCTGGGGTCCTTAAATTTATTAAAATAATCAAACGATCACTTTTTGATATTTTATGTTGAAATTTATTTCAAACACCAAAAAAATAATATTATTCTCACAATTGTTATTTTATTGTAAAAATTGTAACCTAATATAAAAAAATTGGGTATTGTTGGTTAGACTGGCGCTATTGTTGCAAACGCATAGGGCTACCTGAATTCGGGCCGCAAACATGCATCTCCAATCCTGACGACGGTCGATTGATAAATATCAAAAACAAACTGACGGCCTTTCACCGTTTAAGTCCATGGGAAAATCACATCGTAAATATAGACTTATAGAGACTTGGCCGTTGTGTAGGTTGGATGACACTCACACACACACACTGAATATTATAACAATATGAGATAAATTAAACTATTCAACTGACTGTGACTAACTGTACGCCTTTTCATGTTCTCTAATCGGAAACGACGTCGTATTCTTCGAATCTGATACAATTATAATATTATTCAAATGCGTTGATCGATGAACTCCCGCTTTGGTTCAGACTGTTTAGTATAATGTGTACAGGGTGATTCATTAACCTTCAATCAGCCTCTATGGGTAAATAACCATTTCAAAGTTCCCAAGATAACGTACCTGCCTGCCTAATAATATTCTGTATAATAAAGCTTTTGATTGCACGTAAGTAGATTTAAATATTTAAGTCAATCGGAACTTGTTTTATTCAATCGGTTAACTTGACGCTACCACCAGTGTCGATTGCGATTCGGTTGTTTCGAAAAAATGTACCCAACCTGATCAAGTCTTAAAAAAAATCATGCTGCAAACTCTACTTGGTTCTATGAGAACATAGTTTTCGATTCTGAGTGTACACCTAACTAAAATTGATTTTACAATGATGTGTGGTTTTTTTCTGTCTGTTATCAACTTTTGGGACATTGCTTTGATTTCCTTCTTCAGCATATTTTCTGTTAGGAAAGTGAATCTAGTTGGAGCATTCGAGGAAAATAAGCTTTCCGCCAATCACGAACCATCCCACCGTTTTCTACAGTAAATTACATTATACCGCCATGACTAAAAGTTAATCATTTTACTATTTTAACTACTGAGGTTTTATGTTATAATAATATTTAATTCAGTGAAAACGACTTTATCCGGGCATGTGTGTGGTGTCCGGTCACTTACGTTTCAAAAACTTGTTAATTTCGTTTCCGATCGAGGGATGTGCTGATGTAATGTAATAATATCAATAGTCTCGAGATTTGTCCCACGATTTTTTCGGTTTTCGGTTATTTCCCTTGGACACTCCACGATCGACCACCGTAATCGAATGTGTCTCCAATCAGTCATGTCAATGCTGTTACCTCAATATCATTATTTGTAGTCGTATTAGGGCTAGAATTGAAATAAGTTGAGAATAATATATCAGCTTTAAAGCTTAAATTATCAAAAAAACATATTGAAATGTGTATTTTTTAGAGATTTAGAAGTACCCCCCCCCCCACAAAAAAAAAACGATTGACACTAAACAAAATGTTTGTTAAGAATTTTAATTATGTGTCATTTATTATTTTTAAGGTGGTACGTCTTCTGGTTTTTAAACTGAAATAATAATATTATAAATATATTTTAACAAAATATGGATGGTTTCATTACAATGATAACATGCATACATATCGAGCTCCAAAACGAAAAATTATATTTACAGTGATCAATGATAAGACATTTTGTCACAATATTCATAGGTTCAGAATAACATCCAAACTAGCAAATATTATTTTAACTAATATTTGATACAAAATGTTAATAATATTCTGCAAAAAAAATGCTACCGAAATAACAAAGTTAAAAGTTAATTTACTCAAAAATAAATTCAAAATAAAAATTGCTGTAAAAAAACAGTGCCACTAACAACAGCCCATTGGCTGAACCACAATAGTGTGTTCTAATGAAATAACAAAAATGATTGCTTCTACGGGTATTTATTACGAATTAAACATTTTCGAGGCAGGTGCTAACGTGCGTTACGTACCAGCATAAAATTAAAAAATGTTTCGGCGAGTAAACGTTTTGTAATGATACAGTCGTAGTAGGTTCCTGTTGTCTATTATGGTCGATTGGACTATAATAACAATAATAAATATTGGGCGTATCACCACGCAAACCATCCGTTTTACGGCGAGCCGTTCCGAAATAATAATAAAATATGATAAATCGTTTAATACTACAGTCGTTGTTTTTTCCACACAAATATAGAACCTCATACTTCCGATCCGACTCGGTATCGACTCCTCCTCTTCTGTCGACGGGCCATGGATAGTTCTTTAATCACATTTTCCTTTAAATTATACCCGGGGCGTTAAGATATTTTGTAACAGAGTTACGAGTATTTCTTTTGATACCGAACTCTTTGAGGGCCTCTCTCTCGTCGTTTCGCTCTTTCGCCACATTATATTATTTTATTTTATGTAAAGATTTACAAGCCGTATCAATTTTTTTTCCCGCTCGGTTTCCAATCCGTCCCGCTATCTCGCGTCTGTTTCATTTACTCTTTCTTTTCTCTATCCCTCTCTCAATTTCTCGTGGCGAGCATGATATAATATATTATTATATTAATAATTTTCCCTGCGACTCTTTTTTCGCTTTTCCGCCACATTAATTTTCTCCGGTGGTATACATTATAATATTCTCTATGGTTTTAAAAATGTTTACTTTCATTATTATTTATGCGAGAAAAATATCATCCGATTACGAGTGCTGTGTCTGTTGTGTGCTTCAAGCGGCGGTGGATAGGAGGTAGCGCAACTCGTGCGTAGGTATTATTTATCGTTAAATTTCGCATTAGCGTGAATCAGTCGACCTGAATCCCTTTTTGTTTTCAACCTCGTGAAGAATGAGGAAAAAAATTGGTAGTTTTCACACCGGTGCAATGAGCATATATATATTGTAAGCAGCAAAAGTTTACACTTCACACCATTGTAACGATTCGTTTTGAAATTAAAACGCCTCATAAAAACCGCATCAGATCTTCAGGCATGTATAATTATGAGTTCTACTTTTGGATGCATCTCAACTCATACCACGGGCGATCGATAGTTTCACTTTATTAAAGAGATTTCACTAGTATATAACTATATTGGTCATTCTAACAACACAACTGTGTGACTGAAACCAAAAGCTTAAAAACTGGTTCACTACACCCAAAATGTGAACTTTAAAGTTAGTAAATGGTGTCAGTTTTCTCAGCAGCATTAAAGCCCCCATCATTTTGAAGATTAAACCGATTTATAAGATCTCAATTTCAGTCGAGGTCACGGTGAAAATTATGCGTAATGCCCACCCGACTACACACACCTACGACTTTCAAGTCCCTTTTTGAAATACCAACACCCTGCAGTGACTGAACTTTCATAAATCACATTAATTTATATTATAATATATAACAAATGACTGAGTGTGCCGAGGTGGTTGTTTTCAGCCACGAAAAGTGATCTGAACGCAAGCATCGAACGGTGTCACCAATTCCCGGGTGGGCGACCGCTCGTGTTTTTATCGACGAATCCAAAATCACACACACACGTGTTCCAAATCAACCATACCCCCNGGTATTATATAATGATTTCAACAATGTTGTTGTATAATATTCAGGAAAATATTTGCTCAAATATTGCAAGGTGAACATACGTAATAAAAATATATCATGTTTTTATTAATAAATAACTGACTTTCGTGTTTTTCCATGTCTGGCGCCACCACACGCACTGCAGCCCGTTACACGTGCACCGACTGCGGCAAGCACTACGCGACGTCGTCGAACCTGTCCCGGCACAAGCAGACACACCGGAGCCTGGACTCGCAGTCGGCCAAGCGGTGCAACGCTTGCGGCAAGGCGTACGTCAGCATGCCCGCGCTCGCCATGCACCTGCTCACGCACAAGCTGTCGCACGCGTGCGGCGTGTGCGGCAAGATGTTCAGCCGGCCGTGGCTGCTGCAGGGCCACCTGCGGTCGCACACCGGCGAGAAGCCGTACGCATGCGCGCAGTGCGGCAAAGCGTTCGCGGACCGGTCCAACCTGCGCGCGCACATGATGACCCACTCGGGCGACAAGAACTTCGCGTGCCACTGGTGCCGCAAGTCGTTCGCGCTCAAGTCGTACCTGAACAAGCACCTGGAGGCGGGCTGCGCGCCGGCGGCCGCCGTGGCCGCCGCCTCGTCTCCGTCGTCGTCGCCGTCGTCGCCGCAGCAGCCGCAGCAGTCGGACGACCGGGACACGGCCACCCGGGACGGATAACGTTGTCATGCGGCGCCGCAGCAGCAGACGCCCCGACGGACGTCGGTCATACGGTTCGCCGCCGCTGCAGCCGCCGACGATTCCGTCATATTGTTGTCGGACTAATGACGACGACGACGACGACGACGACGACGAACGATGCAGCCGCCTCCGCCGCCAAAGTAACATTGAAAAAAAAAAAATTATTATAAAGGTTTTTTGTTTTATTTTTTTTTTTTTTTTTTTATCAGAAAAATATCATCCGATTACGAGTGCTGTGTCTGTTGTGTGCTTCAAGCGGCGGTGGATAGGAGGTGGCGCAACACGTGCGTAGGTATTATTTATCGTTAAATTTCGCATTAGCGTGAATCAGTCGACCTGAATCCCTTTTTGTTTTCAACCTCGTGAAGAATGAGGAAAANAATAGTGGTACTATGATATGATATTATTACTGTACTTAGTTTTTAATTATCGGTACGTCTAATAATATAATAATTAAGGACATATAGGTATATTTAAGGATAGGTTTTACGTATTTTTTAAACTATACATTTTAGCTGATAGCAGTATGATCGCCTAGTCATTAAGACAACGCAATATTATTATTATTATTATTATTATTATTATTATTATCATCATCATCATCATCACCATCACAGCCTGTGCCTAGCAGTACCTCTAAGCGCGCGCCATTTATTTACCGGTACACATAGGATCATAATGTTATACATATAACATAGGTATAGTGTGTTTTGAAACGAGCAATAATATTAATGTTATAAACATTAAACAGTGTTAGGCTGATTTATATATTTTTAGAGAAACTTTTTTTTTATCGTCATATTGATTATAAATAAATATAAATATATTAAGCGATTACCTCGTCGCGGTATGTACGTTTATTACGGTTTTTTTTCCTACGACAATTTTTACGGTTTCACGACGACTATGATATTAATATTGTAGTCGTATCATTAAATCGGTACGATAATATTATTATTTATGTCCGTTCGACAGCGGTCGCGCTCGATCTATAACAATTATAGTATAATAACGATACGATTTTAATTGATTGAGTTTTTTGATAATATTATTATTATTATGCTTTTCTAGCCGTTTTTGGATTTTGTCTATTGGGCGGGTATTATATAATGATTTCAACAATGTTGTTGTATAATATTCAGGAAAATATTTGCTCAAATATTGCAAGGTGAACATACGTAATAAAAATATATCATGTTTTTTTTTCATTTTACTTTTTTATACAAGCCTATATATTTATATATATTATACGCGCGATGAATGTTTAAAAAACGTTCGGTGTAATAATATTATGTTGTTGAGTATCGCTCGGTAGCACCTACTTGAAAATTGAAATCCAACTGAAGAGTTTTATAAAATAACAATTGTATTCGTACACGCAGTAAAAGTATAGTATATTTTAGTAAGTAGTTGTATTTCGATAAAACATCTATAGAGTATAGGTAATATTATTATTACCCCACCATCATTATCATCATCGTACACCACTCGGTGGGTATTGATATTTCACCAAAAAAAAAAAAAAACCAACCAAAATTATGTACAAATATTTCATTAGGGTATATTATATTCATTTTTGCTACACATTACATCGTATATGGACACAACAAAATAGGATTGAACAAAACATTAGCAGGCTGTGATTTTAAAATTTTAACTGACTGTGTCAACGATTTTCGTACCGAATCGAAAGCGGTTTCAATATTTGATTTTTACACAAGTTTCCAGGAAAAAAAATTCGAAAAAACGCATTTGTTTACCAAAATTTGTACTACTCATAAACTTTTACGATAGCGTATTATTATTATATAGTGATTATATTATAATTATAAACATTTTACCATTTTTAAATTTAATCAAAGGCTGAGTATAAACATATTATTTTTCAATAATATGTACGAATAGATTATAGTAAATAATAGGTTGGTAGGTAGGTCCGTCCTTTCCTGCTGTCGAAATGATTGTCTGAAAATTGTGGGCGACCCTGTCATAACGGGGCCTTAGCAATCGAATTTCCGCGATCACTTTTTTTTTTTCTAATTAAAATATTATTTTTTTATATTAAACCCCCAAAATGAATTTTCGAAAATTCGTCGTCCCGGGAGCACGCATTATCTCGAACCTAGTGCGTATGAAAGGCGTTCAGTGAAATCGTACGACCGGAGACGACAAGGGACGTCGTTAAAAAGACGTTTACGAAACTCACGACTTTGGCCCCGATGATTCGGACTAATTGTTATTATTCTCCGTGGTGCAGTGTCAGCGTCTCATCCGAATTAATGATCCGATCGTTAATCGCACGCACTGAAATAATATTCGTTTATATCGAATACGGCCGATGTAATAATGTATTATCATTTTAATAAGGTCGAGAAAACCTGCTACCGCCGCGAAGTTATTGTTTCCGAAGACGATATCATTTAATTGTCATAATTATTATTGTTACTATTTCGTTCAATAAATTATTGAATTTCCGTCGATGGCGTTCGCGGCGCCGCCCCGGGTCGTATAACGTTGTGCGATGACGTCCGTGGTACGAAGAGCTTTACAAAAAACACCCGACCACTTTTTTTTATATTTCGCATTCTTTTTTACACTTTCTCCCGCCAATCCGAGCTCATACGCATGATATTTTGCATTTTTATTGCGTCAATAATTGCATTTTTTAATGGTTTTTCTTTTTTACAACTTTCAAGTCCACGCACAATCGTGTAAACACAAACGATACAATGTGTCTTATTATCTGCCTTGTCGTAACGATAATGATATGTTTTTGACAGTGTCTTAAGACACGTGTTAGGTCGCCCGCGGTAATACCACATTTTCGTCTCACTCTCGGGGGCAGATGATTTCTCTCCGATTCCGAGTTCGTACGCTTCTGCCCATAATAAAAAAAATATAACATCGTCACGCCATAATTATCTCAATAATGTTCGTCTCGAGATTTCAGAAAATCATTTCCGACGACCGTCCGCATCGTGACGATCGACAGTATTGTAACACTTTTGTATATCACTATAGACATTCTTAATTTTACGTATTATTCTAAGTTCCCGCGTTATCATTATATTTTGTATTTTAGGAATAAACGTGCGCAATAGCAGTATACACACGAAGCTTCCAATATTTTATAGGTAAGGCACGGTGTGCTCGCCACGCGTTGGCGTATATAGAGAGACTTATAATAATAGTAATATAAAGTAAATATTATATTATTATTATGATAACTTTGGCAATATTATCATAATGTTATTTAATAATATTATAAAAAAATGTAGAGAGAGAGAGATGAATCGTATTTTTTAGTATTTTATTCTCAGTAGTTTAATTTATATTATAATAATAATTATCGTACTGTACGTATTAATATATATCGATTTACATATGCGTATACACAAATATATAAATATATATATATATTCTGTATAAACATTGTATTTGCTTTACCGTTTATCATTGTAATATTGTATATACCTAAATATAGTAATGTAATAATAATATTAATCATTACGCATTTATACAAACACAATATTATAGTCTTAGGTATAAACCAATTTGACATTGCGCGATGCAACCAATAATAACATGTTGATATTATCATCGTCATCATCATTATCATCATCATTATAATCATTGATTTTAATATTATTTTACATTTGACTAATAGATAGGGTTTTGGAACATGATCTATGAGACTATATTATAAACCATTTGTATAACCACGATTTGTAATGCTCAATCAAATTTTAAATGTTTAGTTTTATATAACGCAACGACATAATAATATGATTATTGCTATTATTATTATTATTATTCTTATGACATATTATACCGTACTGATTTGTGAACGAGAACAAAATACGTTCATCCGTTTTAGCTGTAATATTTATCACATTATTGTATCGTGTGTAAACGCTTCGTATTATGACCAGCCGTAATACGAATCGCGTTATCGCATCGCCATCGTCATCATTAATATTATTATTATTATTATTATTATTATTATTATTATAATTAAGTAGATATTTTAAGAATTTTTTTGACATACATTTTTGTAGCGTGTTTTTACCGATTTTTTTTATATACATTAGTTTTTAAGTTGCGCATTAGTCGTATTATATTTGTAATATTCGTATGACATATTATTATACCTTATTGTGACGGTAGGGCCGCTGATCGCGGTCGTAGTGATGTTTATACGATCGCATTCCGTGACTTGTAATTATTTATTACAATAATTGTACTAATACGAACACTTCCCTCTCCACTCCAGAGCGCTTTGGATACACCGACGAGACAAGCGAGATAAAGCGATGTAAATTAAAATCCAATCAATCATAATCTCGAATTAGCGGTAATAAAACATATTTTCAAGAACCACAATAAATACGATCAAAGGGATCAGTATTACGTCGTGTGCGGAATCCGTTGATTATAATATTTTTTCTTGACTGTTGTTTTCGCAGATTTTGTAGATCTCAGGGGCAAGTCCGACCAAAATAATTTCGCGTACAACGAAAGTACACATTTATTTGTATAATTTTACACGAAGGGTGCTCGGAGGAGAACTACCCTATGCCGAGTGTAGACTTTCCGAAATCACCGACGCGTGTCATCAAAACTTCTAGCTTCCGCGGGGCTACCACCTTTGCTGAGGTGACGTCCGCCAGACCCTTCCGAGTGCTTCCGGCTGAATAACTTATGATTTCCATGACTCTTCTTCGCGAACCGAAAAGGTAGAGATAGGCAACGAAATGTAAAGAATATAAAAATATATTATTTACATGTAGAAAACGTCGTGTGATGTTAAGTGTTACATATATATATATATTACTATAAAAATCTCGATTTTACGAAAACATGAATAATATTATAATAATAATTAAAGTGCTTTCTGCGAAAACCAGACAAGCCCAACGTTTTCGAAAGCGCACTTCCTCCGCGAAACTAAACAGAGAAAAAATATCTTTGAGTTGTTGCAACAAGCACACATTAGCTTGTTAGTTTCGTTTTATTTAAAATAATATAAAATAAAAAATATAATTGTAGTGAAAAACCCCTTCAGATAAGTCCAAGTTTCTTTCGTTTTCATAGAATTTATATTGATGGAACAGTCACAGTTGACGAATAAACAAACAAAAATACCCTCTCAGTGTATCTATTATACAATTCAAAACCATTAAGTGTTTTTCATTCAT